TTAACTGACTCAAAAGTCCCGAAAGGTTTCATCGCCCTTGGAAACGGTTGCATAACGTGAGCGCAGGGCGTGTCACTCAAGAAAATGGAATGTTTGGCTAATCAATAAAGGCGGGTCCCCTGAGACACGAGCGCAGGGCACCGGAGGGGACTGTGGGTGCCTCCTTCGGAAGCTTGATCTCCTATTTTCAGATTCTTACTCAAGTGTACTTTCTACTTTTTTCCCCCTGGGACTTGCAGAAACATGGGCTCAAATTATGTTGTCAAATTATCTTTTTTTTCCCCCCAGTCCGGTTACGCAATCTAATTTGCAGTCAGGGCTTTCATAAGCACTTTTTAAAAATAAAAAATAAAAAAGGAAGTTTGACTGTGAAATCCCTAACTGGGGACTATGACAGATTTATGTTGCTCCGTGGACTGGGTGGCCCCTCAGGTTAGAAGCAGGACTTGCCTGTCGTCACCAGCGTTGAAAATAGGGAGTGATTAAATCAACTGAGGAGAAGATAACACAGGGCAAATTTGTCACAAGAACGGTGGTGGCCTGGTCATTCTCAGGCCACACCCGCAGGTGGTCATTTCCTGACATGCACTGCCTGTGACTGTCTCCACAGGTTCAACAATAGAGCCTGAGACCTTTGCCTGTCTTCTAAAAATCAGTATACTTCAAGTTGCCTGGACCCCCATGGAAGAATAAATAAACAGAAGGCAAGGGGGGGTCCACCCTCACCATGGAATATTACTCAGCCACGAACAAGAGTGAGGCTCTGACTCAGCCTGCCATGTGGCTAGGTCTGGACCACGAGATGCTCAGCGGAAAAAGCCAGACGCAAAAGCGCACATTCTATGATTTCACGTCAATAAGATGTGGCCCACAAGCGAACCGCTGGCCACAGACACAGAACAAGCATTCGTGGTCACCTCATCCAGGGGAGGAAAGAATGAGGATTAGGACGAGCAACTTCTCAACAGGTCTCCTCTGGGGATGATGGGAATGTTCTGGAAGTAGCGTAGGAGGGAGGGGCGTCGATGTGCTCCGGTGGGTGCAGGTGAGAGGATTATGCACGTTCTGGACGTGACGTGTTCTCATAGCAGCGTGGAGACCACGCTTCGAGACCCAGCGTGGTTGAAGGAGAGGCGTACTGTGAGGCATAACCGACATCATGGCTTCGACCACACAGCCTCGGCATCTGATCGTCCTGCAGGTCTGATTTCTGAAAGGGGGGTCGTGGGGTCCACTTGGCTGGGTAAGGGGGCGCTTTATGCTTCGTCACAGTTGGTGCTCCCTAGTTCAGAAGCTTCCAGACGGTGTGTTGCTCCTGAGGTGCAGTGCTCCCGCCGGGAGGGACCCCCTTGGATGGCTACATGTGGTTCCCTCTGAGCAGGTGTTTGGGATTCACGCCGCAAGTTCTGCTGGGGAAAGGTGAGACTGTGCGGGACAGAAGGAAGGACCGAGGTGTCTGGGGCTGAATTTAGCCCCCCAAAAGCTACATGGAAGTCTGGCTCACGGGACCTGGGGGTCAGAACTTCTTGGGACACACCTTCTGTGCAGATGAAACTCAGTGAAGGATCTGAGAGGAGGTCGTCCTGGGTCAGGGTCAGGGTGGCCCTGCGTCCAGTGACAGTGTCCTGAGAAGGGACAGAAGAGGAGATGCAGACACGGAGGAGAAGCCACGTGGAGATGGAGGCAGAGACGGGAGGGACGTCTGGAGCCCCCGGAGCTGGAAGAGGTGAGAAGGCCCCTCCCTGGAGCCTGTGGAGGGAGCGCAGTCCTAAGACCCCTGGACCTCAGACGCCTGCTCTCCAGGGCAGGGGAGGGTGACTTTGTGATGTCATCAGCCCCTGCAATGTGTGGTCATTTGTTACCAGAATCCCAGGGCCCTCAGACGGACAATACTAAAGTGGGAAGGCGGTTTCCATGTCATGTTTTCCTTGTCATTTCTTCCCCGTAAGACGCACCACGCAAGTTCTAGGAGCTTCCTGAGCTCTTCGACTTTTGGCAGCCGGAAAAACCCCGCCTTTCTTTTTCCCCAGAAGCAGGCAGAGTTCCAGGGCACCAAACACAAGATTTTATTCCCTCCGGTCTCGATTCAGAACGGCTTAAACTCTGTTCACGAGTTCTCTTTTGCCTGTACGTGAGGCCGCTCCTTGCAATTCGTGAAAGAACCCTGTCCCTAGAGGATCAGGGACCTGACCTGGAGGTGTCCACAGGTCAGAGAGATGCCCCGGAGAATGTCCTTACGAGACCCGCTGACGAGCTAGGTCTCACCGGCCTTTAGGACTCACACGGAGTCGTCCGTGACGAGCTTGTATTCCAGCTCCTGGGGTGCTTTTTTGGGACAGCCCTAGAAGCTCCTCAGCCTTTATTCCTGCAGACAGCTTGCTTGTGGGACCTGCAGCCAGGAGGAACATGGAGCCAAACCCACTGCTGGAAGCAACAACCTTCAACCTGTGTCGGCTGTCAAACAGACCTCACCAAACGGACGCCTTCCCCAAATCCCTCTTTTCATGTCCAATTAGAGACCCTTTGCCATTTTAACTTGGAAAAGCAAGGCAGGTCTTGGCGTGTGCCAAGTCACCCTTCAGAGCTGAGGTCTTTCAAGGGGTGTGTCTGATGAACGGTGTCCCCTGCCCACACCCCCTGGCCGCCTGTCCCTGGCCGGCGTAGAACGATGGGACCTGCCCTTGGTTTTGTCCCAGGGAGAACGCAGACACTGTGGCTGAGTGCGTCTCTCTGACATTCCCTGTGACAGATCCTTCCGGCTCAGAGAGAAGGCAGAGAGGAGTAAATGACTTCCATCTTGCCCAGGAATCCCTTTGAGCTCGTCCCCATGATGGGTCAGCCGGAGGTCACCTTTCTCCAGGACGCTCTTTCTATAGGTGGCTGAGGGTGACTTTCTCCCTCCTATTTTGAAGAAATAATTCAACTGTGCTTGGCAGATTGGGAGAGTTCCCTGACACGCATCTCTTACTATTATCTTTTTTTTCACTTTGTCCCATTTCAAAATATGCTGTGCAGAAAATCTGGAAGCATTTTAGGACAGGCAATGAAGCAGGAGATGTCTCCTGACCATGGTATGTACGCACAGACCAGAACGAAAATCCCCCCTCATATTCTGAGACAGGGCCAGTTGCCTGAATGGTCATTTAACTACAGTCTTGGGGCCAAGTCTCACTTGCTCGTTCCTAAAAGTCTGCTTCTGCTCAAACGGAGACGCATCCCCCACTCCCCAGCACTCCTGCCCTGGGAGTTTCCAGCTAAACAAGTAGATATTTCCTGTGTTGACCTGCTTTCTTGTCTGTCTGTCCCCATTGATTCTAGGGTTTTTGAGGAGCGGCCCTTAACCCATCAGGCAAGCTGGGCAACAGTGGGGAATACCTGGGCCGCGGGTCTCAGGAGTGATGTCTACCATGGGGATTGTAGACGGAACCAAGAGCTATGGAATTCCGTGGTCCTCCACCACGCGTAGAATCTTCAACTCTGTCACGGAAGACTCAGAATGCCTAAGGCCTGCGGCTCGTGGGAGAGACAGAGAATAGGTCTGCAGAGATCCTGCCTCGTTGTAAAATTTGCTAAAACATTGAGAGACGCGAGTATTCGGTAAAAAATGCCTCCCTTCTTGGTGCCTCAGATCTTGTCTGTCAGCTGCAGATGATGTGGGTGCTATGCTTATTGTCTGTATCCAACTACATCCTGATGCTAGGAGAACCTTGGAGAGCAGGAGGAGGAGGAGGAGGAGGAGGAAAAAGGAGGAAGAGGAGGAGGACAGAGGTAGAGAAGGGGCACCTGGAGAAGAAGGAACCTCCTGTTATTTCCTCAAATCGAAGCATGTCTACAGATTCGATATCCTGGGGGGTGGCCTGGGAGATGGTGGCACATTGGATGCCACCCAAGGTCAACGTCAGAGCCTATTTTGAGCAGGACGGCAGCCCTCTGAGCTCTGGATAGCCACTGGAGGCTGATGGAGAAAGACCCTGGTGGGAGCCAAGACACAGGGCCCCCCACTATGGCAGCGAGAAAGGAGGAGACTGTGGGCCCAGCGATTCTCTATTCCTAGGGGTCACAACCCACTCGACTGGTCCCCCGTGGACTCGAGGGCCCTAAAGGAGAGGCACAGTGGCAGCGGATGACTGGCCTTACTGGTTTAGTTCAGTACCTGCCTGTCAAGGTCATGTACAAGGATAAGGATGTATCCTGCGGGCAGCTTTTTAAACAGTTCATCAACGCGTGCCGGGCATCCCAAGAAAGAGGATGCCTCAAACTGGGTTCTGGAAATACGTCCACGCAGGTTACCGGAACAATAACGCTATGGAAGTGGGTGGACTGACTTCAGAGCCAACCCCTAGTGCTGGTGGGCCCCAGAAACATTGCCCTGCGATGGGTAGGGAGGAATTCCTGGACCCTTCTAGAAGCGGCCGAGGTAGGTAAGTGCTTCACACAGAGAATGAACTCATCCCACGGTTCATTCCTGGCCGTCTCAGGCCCCAGGTCCAGTCTTGGGCTCCCAACAGTTCCTGTCCTGGGCCGTGCCTCTTGGGTACCTCTCTTGTCCCCGCTCACAGGGGCTTTGTCCTTCAGTCCAACATGGGCGCTGCCGATGACTGTCCCCACCTGACCCGTCCCGCCTTCCTCAGGTCTCCTCTTCCCTGGAAGCAGGGTGACTTCCTCCTCTGGCTTCCCCTTTTTTCCGTGAGCAGCGCGCTCCATCCTCCGGGGCCTCTTCCCCCCACGCCCACGTCCTCCCCGACGCCCCCAGCTCGTCCCACCAGGCTCCCCAAAGCTCCCAAGGCTGGCCCTGCCCCCGCAGGCTCTCCAGGCCGAAGGAAGAAAGAAGTTCCACCTTTTTGGCAGGAGGACTCTGGCAGCCCGGAGGAAGCAGGCAGCCAGGAGCCACGGGAAAGGCGGGAAGGCGTGGCGTGGGTCTCACGTTGCAGCCGGGCCTGCTGCAGGGGGAGGGGGGCACTGGCTGGCGGGGCGCAGCCGGCTCCCGCCCGCACCGGGGTTCCGTGGCGCGGCCAGAGGCCACTTCGTTCCTCCCGCAGGAGCGCAAACCCTGCTCCCTCTCTCTCCGGCGAAAGGAAGGAAGCCCTCTCCAGCGCCGCGGGGAAGAGCGCTCAGGCTGCAGGCGCCGCGGCGGCCCTCGGAGTTCCCTGCGTCCCCGCTCCACTCGGGTCCCAGGAGTTTCTCTCCGAGCAGGAGTAGCCCTCCTGTTGGACCCCCTGCCCTTCTTCCCGCGGCAGTGGAAGAGGCGTGCCCACCCGGGACCGGGCGCGATGAAGCGGCGAGAGGAGGGCTGAGCGCAGAGCGGCGCAGCCAGGGTCCCTTGGCTGGCGCCCGCGCCCGGCTCCCTGGGGTGGGGCAGGGTGGGGGTGGGCCGAGGCGTGGACTGGAGAAGACTCTCGGCGACGGGAATAAAAGGGCGTCGGCTCGCCCTGCCGCGCTGGGAAGCGGTGTCACCTCGCCCCCAGCCCCAGGAAGGGCATGGCTCTGGCGGACTCCAGGCGCTGACTCCCGCGCCCCGGCCCCGTGCACACTCAGGGCGCACGGCTCTGGCGAGTGGCGGCCTCCGAAGGACAGGTGAGGTCCCAGAGCAACCTGGGCTCCCGGTGGCTGGTGGCGGGACACTGTCCCTTTCTGCAAGGGGTGCAGAGACTTGGGGGGTAGCCAAGGGAAAGACGGGGAGGAGGGCGGTGAAGGCTAAGAGGTTTATCCCACCGTCCCCGGACCGTTTTAATGGACTGGGGGCCCGTTGCCATTCAGGACAGAAGCGGGTGGAGTCTGGCAGGAGCACGGGTTGATTAGCTCTGATGAAACCCGACCCTTCTCGGTTCCTTCCCCCTCCTTCCCCTCGGAGACCCCTAACCCCTCCACCCCTCGTTTCCAGGAAACCACCCGTAGGATTCCCCCAGGGAACCCAATTGCGCCCCTGCGTTGGCGGGGGAAGCTCAGCAGCGGGGCCTCCTCCCCAACTCCTCTGGCTCCCGGCTCTCAGAGTCTCCTCCTCCCCTCACTCTTTCCCTGGATACCCGGAGACCCGCGGCCCGCCCGGGGCTGAGCCACGCGGGGGCTGCAGAACTCATCATCTTCTGGGGGAGGCGGCTTTCGGTGTGCAGCTCCCGAGGGACCCAGGGGGGAAGCCGAGCCACGTTCCCGGAAGCTCCTATTTCTCCGCGCCGCCCGGCGGGGAGCGTCGAAGCGGGCGCTGGAAGCGGGCCAGGGTGTCAGGGCTGCGCGCCTGGCCGCTCCAGGCTCTTGGCCCCGGGCGTGTGCAGAGCACAATTTTCCGAGGTTTTGTAGCCCGCACCGGGCGCCCTGGCAGGCTCCGGGCGGTTTCCCTCGCTGACTCGGGACTGGGGTCCCCTTGCAGCGCGTGCCTTCGGTCCCCGGGGAGGACCCGAGAGGAGGGCAGCGGGACGCCCAGGCCAGGTCCGCCTGCAGACGCAGGGCGCGAGCCGCGATGCCCTTGGCACAAGCCCGGGGCCCAAGTCCAGCTCGCAGGCAGGGGCGGGGAGAGGCCTGGGCTCCGGCCAGTCAGGAAACTCCTCTCTGCAGAGGTGGAGTCCGGACTAGCCATCTGCAGAGCTGCCTGCGGCTCTTGGGAAGCAGCTGCAGGCCAGACGAGCAGGGGCTGAGCCGACGGTGTATACGGAGTCCAGGCAAGGGACGCCAACGCGAGGGCTCTGGGAGGCTCCGCAACCTGCAGGAGCTGCTGTGGGGTTTGTTATCCGCAGTGGGCGCTTGCCCCGAGCAGGGGCGAATGGAGAGGAGAGGATTCTCTCTGGTGCCTTTTACTTTCCACGTGCCTGTTGCTGTTTTTACATAAACTTCACTGGAAAGATGACAAAAACGGGAGATGATGAAACGTGCCCGGGGCGGGACAGTAGACTCCTTGACGCAAGGAAGGTAGCGGTAGCCATAGAACTTGCAACTGGAATTTCTTTTTCTTTCTTTCTTTCTTTGTTTCTTTCTTTGTTTCTTTCTTTGTTTCTTTGTTTCTTTCTTCCTTCCTTCCTTCCTTCCTTCCTTCCTTCCTTCCTTCCTTCCTTCTTTCTTTCCTTCCTTCCTTTCTTTCTCTCTCTTCTCCTTCCTTCCTTCCTTCCTTCCTTCCTTCCTTCCTTCCTTCCTTCCTTCCTTCCTTCCTTCCTTTTCTCCCTCCCTCACTCCCTCCCTCCCTTTTTCCCCCTTTCTCTCTCTCTTTCTGTTACTTTATTATTGTCTTCCTTCGTTACTTTTTTATTCTGACCTCATTCACCCTTTCTGGTCCCTTGTGGGCGTTGCCCTGAACATACTTCATCGGGCCATTTTTTCATTTTTCATGTCATGACAGATTTTCAGACGTTTCCCCAAAGTTCCTCTTTCAAGGAAAAAAAGGGGGGGGTATGCTGCCTCATGGCCACCCTTTGGCTCCTCCCAGAAAATAAAAATTAGGGATAATAGCAAACCCACAAAGGACAGAATGAATTTCGCTGTAGTGAGTGCCTCTTTGAGCACTTTAAGGTAGAGCTAAAGCTTTAAGGCCTGCCATTAAAAGAAAGAAATTCTCCTGGTAATGATGACCTTCTGGGCGAGTTTTATTTAAATGTATAGAGTATAGAAGGACTCAGAATGGACACAGAGTGGAGACACATAATTCTCTCTCTCTCTCTCTTTCATACCCTCGTCCACGCCGTAGTGACATTTCGAAATCTTAGGACCCAAGTTAGAAATGAAGCTTATGTTCTACATCAAGGATGAGCCTTAATGGCAAAAAAAAAAAAAAAACCCTTCGGCTTTTTTACTCAAATATTTTAAGCGTGGCGACCATCTCTCATTGCAGGACTTGCGAAGCTGCGACCCACGCCGAGGCCCGGTTCTAACATGTGCTGAAGCCGAGGAGAGGCTCCCCGCCCACCCGCGCATCTCCTTGTGTGTGTGCCCCTCCCCCACGCAGGTTTCCCGGGACCACGCACCCCCGACAAGATGCCACCGTGGGCGCCCTGGCGAGCACTGTCCATGGTGCTGATTGTGGCCTGGGCGCGGCCTCCCGCCGCGCGCGCCTGCCCGCGCCCGTGCGCCTGCTACGTGCCCAGCGAGGTGCACTGCACGTTCCGCTCCTTGGCGTCGGTGCCCGCCGGCATCTCTCCGCAGGTGGAAAGAATCAACCTCGGGTTTGTACCGCGTTCGCCCTGAGCCCGTGCGCCCCCCGGCCTGCGGGGTGCTTCGGTGTTGCCATGTCCCTAGGTGCGCCTCTGCACCTGGCGCTCTTTCTAGAAAGGCAGGCTCCTGGGCGGATTTTTAACAGCCAAAAGGATTGCCTTTGGGCCGTTATCTGAATGTCTCTGTGAGCTGCGGCCAACGTGATAAAGCTTAGTGGCAAAAGCATCCTGACAGCTTTCACTGTAGAGACGGTTTCCTTGACAACCATTCCTTGATCTGTGGTCCATACCAAGCTCACCACCCATGCGCAAATACAATAATATTATTTAGGCAGCCTTCAGGAACGATTAAGGAGTGATAAAAAAAACAATCATGAACATCTCTGAAATTTTGTAACATTTGTACATGAGGCAAGCGTGTTTTCCAGGAAATACAAGAATTCTTTAAGAGTTTGCCTATTTCAAGTATCAATCTATTGAAGAGGTATTTTGATGACGCATTCCAGATAGAATCTTTATAGTTAAAATTTTTATTTGATTCACCCGAATTCAAGGCGTATTATGTCCATAAATGGTGGTTGGCTCTGAGTTACGGGTACTTGTGTACAGTGTTCACTGTAAAGAATCAGTTGGACTTATTCGTTTTTTAAAAGATTTTATTTTTTATCTTTAGAGGGGAAGGGAAAAAGAGAGGGAAATATCAACGTGTGGTTGCCTCTAGTGCACCCCCTACTGGGGACCTGGCCTGCAACCCAGGCATGTGCCCTGACTGGGAATCAAACCGCCATCCTTTGGTTTCCAGGCCCACACTCGATCCACTGAGCTACACCAGCCAGGGCTGGACTTAGGACTTTTGACCATCTAGAAAACAAGAAAACGAATTCAGGGTTTGCTGACTATCCCTGGTAGAGACATTTTAATGAAATGAAGAAGTCGAACTTGAATCCATGAACACAGGATTTATATACCCAAATGTACAGAGTTAAAAAAATCTTCTTGCTTTTTTTTTTTGCTTCAAAGATTGCTTAAATTTATTTTTAGACAGTGGGGAAGGGCAGGAGCAAGGGAGGGAGAGAAACATCAACGTGTGATTGCCTTGTGTGTGCCCCCTACTGGGGACCTGGCCCACAACCCAGGCCTGTGCCCTGACTGGGATTCGAGCTAGCGACCCTTTGTTTTCCAGACTGCTGCTCAATCCACTGAGCCACACCAGCCAGGGCTCCTTTTTTTCTTTTACTTTAAATTCCAGAAACAGAACAAAATAATGGGAAGTCAGTCCAATAAGAGAGAAACTTCCTTAATCCAAGACAAAAGGCCAATACGTCCTTACTCAATAAGATCTTGGGAAAGTTGATTAGCTGACTGTCTGCAAATACAGCCACAAAGATAATAGCTCCTTGGGGGAAAACAAGGAGGTTTGCCAGAAGCAGGGATATTAATATCTAAACCAGTTCCCCTCATACCATCGTCCACTTCATGAGGACCCAGTTTAGAGTTTTATCCCTCGAGATGCTTCTGCGTGACATTAGAAATAAAAGAAAAACAATAACGGAGGAATAGCTTCACTGCGTATACATGGAATATATGATTTCCATCTGCCTTGATGTGTAACACAAACACATGGGCCTCATTTCTGAGTTATATTTAAAACCTCACAGCCCTGTTTTTGAAAACCTAGTCTCAAAGGAGGTAACGAGGCTGGTACCATGTATTTCTGTCAGGGGAGAAATAAGGACAGCGTTCCGTATAGACCCAACTGGAGTTTTGCAAGCTTGCCTTTTTACCAATTTTGGGAAGAAAAGAGGCTCAAGGAATGAAGTTTTATTGGCAGAGCGCTAATGAAATATTTTTCCCCCCACACAGATGTTTTTAGAATCCCCAGTCAGGATTTAGGAAGAGATTTGCTCTTTCCTGTTTGGATACCCCTACAGCTTTCAAAAAAAATTATTTTTACTTTCCAAACCCTTTTGAGCAAACAAAATAAAAAACACCCACTTAGAGTCTAATTTATACACCTTGCCATGTTTTCCCCTCGATTACAACTGATTTTTGACAACGTCTTTTTGGAATTCCCGAAATACGAAGAGCACTCTTCTATTTTTTTTTTTAATTTCGTATTTTATATTTTGTTTCGTGAGACTACCTGGTGGCCCTGAACCAGTTTTGCACACAGTTCTGATGCGAGAGAAACCATTTCACTTAGAGGGTCCCTTAGCCAGGAACCGCCCATCAGCAGCTGAGAAACACACTCTCTGCATCACGGCTGGTTTTTAGGTGGATTCACGGACACCCGCTGTGGGGACACTCTGGCCAGTGCATGAGTGTCGGTCTGTTTGGGAGACTTGTCCCCATCTGTAGCTCTCTGGTGACTGCTACAAGCGAGTACAAAAAGGAGGCACAGTAGACAGGCTCCTGAGCTGTCATGGCACCTACGTCGGGGAGACCGGACCCTTGGCTTGCACTTCCTCTCCCCACACCTTCCTCTTCTGGCCTCTTTACTTGTCTTTACTCCTGGGACCTTGCAGACCCTCTTGACGCCCGGGGCTTTCTTCTGTGAGCCCGTTGGCCAATGCCAGTCAGATGTATTCATTTCGGTTTCTCGTCCTGGGGTTGGGTACCACCCTCACCTTGGAGCGTCACAGACATCTTCAAGAGAACAGGGCGAATGTCATTTTAAGTTGCCCGCTGCCCACACACACCAGTCTCGCTCCGCCTTGTCCCTCTCGACAGAAGGTGCGGTTCACTTGTATGCTCACGCCTGGGTGGATCTTCCCTCCAGCACTTCCGGAAGATCTGCACTCGCCTTTCTCTGCCGCGTTGCCCGTCTTGGCCACGGACAGCGGCGTCCCTCCCACGGTGTCTCCTCCGGTCTTTTGCCTCCTTTTTTGGCTGTCCCTGGCCCCTTCTCCACACCGTGGCCAGCGTGGTTGCCTTCACACGGGACTCTGCTCACATCCTTCCCCCCCTTAAAACTCCCGGGACTCAGAACAAAGGACACTCCTTCTCGTGGCCTTCCAACCCCTACATACCAGCTCCCTGCCAACCCCACCTCCTCACCTGACATGATGCCCTGCCTTCCTGTCAAACTCCAACAAGGGGAGAGCATTTTAGACATTACTCTGCCTTTCCTTTCTGCGTCCCCCATCCAAGACAGATGTCCTTGCACGATTCGAAAGAATCACATGTGAATCAGGCCCTGCATTAACCCAGAGACAACCTTACCCTGTACCTCCTCTAATGAAAGTATACATTTAAAAAATAACCTAAAGCAGATTTTTAAAAAAAGTTTATAGCTGTCATGTGCTTACTAAGGCTCTTAGAGGAACGGATGATCCAGCGATTGACTTTAAGACTGAGCCGTGTTTAGGCTCGCAGATGCGCAGGAGAAGATTTGGCGTGGGTAGCATTTGCTGCGTCTACCTGAGACCTCTCCACATCACCTCTCTATACGCTCCTTCCCTTGTGTCTTCGGGGTACGAGGAAGTAATAAAGTCGGGCTACATATGTTCTGTTTCAGGAGAAACCCTCACCCAAGGTAGCTGGCCCCCAACATTGCAAGGTACAAAGTCCTCCAACCATTTTCGTGTTTCTAATCCTCACCGGAGGGTATGTTTGTTGATTAGGGACAGAGAGAGACGTATTGATGTGAGAGAAACACGGATTGGTAGCCTGCTTCTTCATGCACTCAGTCTGAGAATGGAGCCTGCAATCTGGGCATGTCCCCTGACGGGGAATTGAACCCATGGTCTTCCGGTGCATGGGACAATGCTCCAACCAGGTGAGCCACCTGGACAGGGCTCTGTTCATTTTATAGCTGGTTCTCCCGGGGTTAACTCTGGAGATTCCTCGTGTCATTACCACGTACCAGGGAGGATTTTCCAGTCCAGGAAGCATCTTTACTCTTTTTTGATGAAAAAACAAAACCCCAAACACACTAGGCTATTTACCAATAACATAGACAATCAGCCAGAAGTGCGAACCTGTTCTTGTGCAGTGAGGGTGCCCGTATTTGGCGCTGAGTATTACAGTTTGCTTCTTTACTTGTGTGGGTTTTTTTAGAAAACTTTATTTTTTGTTGTTGACGCTATTGTGGATGTCCCCATTTTCCCTGCTTCGCTTCCCTGCCCACCCACCTCCACCCCCACTTCCCTGTGTCCACACCTCACTGCCGCCTGTGTTCATGGGTCAGGCGTATGTGTCATTTGGCTACTCTGGTCCCTTCCTTTGTCTAGTCCCCCTCCCCTCCCCTGTGACAGCTGTCACTCCGTCCACGTGTCCACTCCTCTGTTTCTATTTGGGTTGCCAGTTGATTGTGTTCATTAGCTTCCACCTATGAGTGAGATCATAGGGTATTTGTCTTTCTCTGACTGGATGGTTTCACTTGAAATACACTCCAGGTCATGCTCACAGTCGTAAAGGGTGAGAACTCCCTTTGCTTGCTTTTCTTTCCTTCCTTCCTTCCTTCCTTCCTTCCTTCCTTCCTTCCTTCCTTCCTTCTTTCTTTCTTCCTTCTTTCTTTCTTTCTTTTTTCTTTCCTTCCTTCCTTCTCTCTTTCTTTCTTTCTTTCTTTCTTTCTTTCTTTCCTTCTTTCTTCCTTCCTTCCTTCTTTCCTTCCTTCCTTCCTTCCTTCCTTCCTTCCTTCCTTCCTTCCTTCCTTCCTTCCTTCCCTCCCTCCCTCCCTCCTTCCTTCCACATCCCCCCACGCATGTGTCCTCATCCCCAAGAGCATTGAATTCTCTCTCACCCCCACACACCAGAAAGCACTCCCCGAAAAAGGTTGGGCCGGGCACAGCATCCGGGGAGCCTCGGAACCAATGTTTTTTTGCTGACTTGTTCCTTGCAAGGTGGGGGGAATCATGTCCGTGTGGGACGGACGCGTGCTCTGAGTCCCATTGCCCTTGTTTGTCGCTCAGGTTCAACAGCATCCAGGCTTTGCCAGAAGCCTCCTTCGTGGGACTCACCAAGCTGGAGCTGCTGATGCTGCACGGGAACAACATCCCGAGTATTCCCGACGGTGCCTTGCGAGACCTCGGCTCCCTCCAGGTAAAGCCGGGCCATTTAATACCGTCCCTCAGTGAGGCCTGTGGGAGGAAAACAAGACCATGCTCCCTAGTGACTTATCACACAACCCCTTCGACCTAAAAACAAGCCTGCTGATTGGATTTCTTTAGCATAATGATTAATCCGTTCAGATTCTCTGTTGCTTCTTTGGCTCGGTTTTAGAAGGCGGTACGTCCATTGCAGCGTGATTTACAGTAGCCAAGATTTGGAAGCAACTCAGGAGTCGAGTCATCGATGAGGGAATGAAGAGTCGGTGTATTTACACCATGGAATATTAGTCAGCCATGAAAAAGCAGGAGATCTTATCATGGGGGGAAAACATGGGTGGGCCTACAGGGTATTTTGCTCAGCAAAATAAGTCAGACAGAGACAAATGTCGTATGATTTCATGTGTACGTGGAACTAAACAAACAAAGAAAATAGAAATAGAGGCACAAATACACGGAACAGACTGATGGCTGTCAGAGGGGATGGGGGTTGAGGGGCTGGGTGACAAGGTGAAGGGACTGAGAAGCACAGACCGGCAGTAACAGAACAGTCTCAGGAGGTAAAGTCCAGCCCAGGGAATAGACTCGGCAATGTGGTCACACCTACAGGTGCAGCCAGGTGGGTACTAGACTCACCAGGAGCCACCGATGCCGTAACACCCGGAACTGATATCGTGTTGAAGGTCAAGCGTAATTCAAGATAAAAATGTTTTGAAAAGCCAACCCCAGCTCCATGCTGTCCCCGTCCCTGCCCTTGGTGTCTCCTGCCTCCTGGTTGGTGGCTCTCCAAGGCGTCCAGGGGACCGTGCCCCTCTCTCCGCAGGTTTTCAAGTTCAGCTACAACAAGCTGCGTGTGATCACCGCTCAGACCCTGCAGGGGCTGCACAGCTTGGTGCGGCTTCATGTGGATCACAACGAGCTTGAGTTCATCCACCCGCGGGCCTTCCAGGGCTTGACGGCTCTCCGGCTGCTGCACCTGGAGGGCAACCTCCTGCAGCAGCTGCACCCTGGGACCTTCTCCACCTTCTCCTTCCTGGGCCACTTCCTCCTCTCCAGCCTCCGGCACCTGTACTTGGCGGAGAACCACATCCGCAGCCTCCCGGACGGGATGCTGCAGAACATGCCGCTGCTGGAGAACCTCTACCTGCAGGGGAACCCCTGGGCCTGCGACTGCAGCTTGCGGTGGCTGCTGCGGTGGGACGCCGAGGCCAAAGGTAAGGGGGGCGGGCCGTCCACGCATCTGCGCACCTGTCCGCAGGGGCCGCTTTCTCCCACCTGCGGACGCGGCTTTAGCTCACGTGGGGTGATGTCACAGCACCGGCAGAGGGAGGCAGGAAATGCACAGGAGAACGGTTGCAAGTTCAATGTCGGGACATTTCTCTTCCATCATTCCAATGCATTATTAGTGTTTAGAAAGTGGGTCGCTTATGTATCTATCTATTTATTTTGTCATCCTGCCTCAAGGATATATTTATTGATCTTAGAGAGAGAGGAAAGGAGAGGCAGAGAGAGAGAGAAACATGGACTGATTGCCTCTCATACACACCCTGACTGGAGGACTGAACCCACAATCTTAGTATGCACGACACAGTGCTCCCGACACAATGCTCCAACCCACCAAGCTACCAAGGCCACGGCCAAAGTCATGACCATTGAATCAGCTATCTACGGTGGACGATGGAGCTCACAGCATGAATCTGGGGAGAGGTGTGTCTCACCTGCACTGCAGGGAGGTGTGGGGTGTTTGTGTATTGTGTCCTGTGTGGAAGAACTCAACGGGTGCTTGGAGAAGGGAAAGCTGGGGTGCCTATGGGATCGTTCACTTATGGATGCGGAAGAGAGGTGTTCTGTATTGATCCAGACAACAAACACCTTCAGAACCCAAGTCAAGGCCTAAGAAAGTAGATTTTGATTCCAAATAAGGAAGGTTATCTTTCTTTTCCTTTTCTTTACGCCCTTCTCCATGCCCCCCATACCCTTGGATCCCATTCTCAGGCGCCATTGGCTTCACGGCACCCTGGGTCTGTTTGCTCAGGGGTATCCCTGGTCACAGCCCCCAGCTGGGGTCGAGCCCCTTTTTTGTGTGCCTTGGAGGACAGGGGACCGTCCCGGCTTGGTCCTCCGGCAGCCCTGGGTGCCCACTTCTTCAGTCAACCCTTCTACCATGATCACAACCAGGTTTGGCACCGAGAACCAGCTCATGCTTCAGTACTCTACTGCTTTCCCGTGGTTTGCAGGCTAAAACACGTGCTCCTGACAGGTAGTTCCTACACAGAGGTGCGTCTGCCTACCACCCACCCTACTGCAGCTGGTCTCACTGCGCTCCTTGGTCACCCTGTGCCAGTCACTCCAAAGTGGTTGCCAACTCAACACCATTGCACCTGCTCAGCCCCCTGCCAAGCTGATTGCCTGGGAGACCTTCCAGGGAACCAGCTTCTTCCTACACTCCTGTCTCTGATGAAAAAGCTCACATCTGGGAGAGGCCTCGCCATCCTCAGTTCCCACCTTCCAGCCAGCGGATGGCGCTATTTCCTGTGGCTGCTTCCGGTGGCCTTCTTCCGTGGCTTGGGGGAGGAGCCAGGTGCTTCTATCTGTGGGCCTAGCATTGCTTCATCAGACAAGCAAAGGAGAGAGACAGAGGTGCACCTGCTTCTTAGTCCTTTGAACGACCAAACACTCATGGCCCCTCCATGCCGATTCCCTCAGTGGGAACTACTCCCCAAATATGGGGTGCAACGCCGGGGTGGGAACTGCGTTTGGTTCCTCCTTTCCCAGCAGGAATACTGACCCGTGGAAGCGGGCACAGGGCCATCTTGACCATCCTGGCACCTGCCTGTGTAGCCATGCGTGTCTGTGTGTCTCTGTGTATGTGTGTGTTGGAAGAGGTGTGGGAAACAACCGCATTTGCCTTTGGAGGCGTTCACTCTGAAAGTCACGTAGACAACCAGGGTCAGGGAGAGGAAAGTAGACACCACTGAGCACGGGGACAGTACGTCACGTCTTAAGTGACGATGCTTTCGCTGGTGGATTCCCCGTGGGGACAAAAAGATGTGGGCAGAAGCCACAGCACTGTTGGAGAGCATTTCTGCCCTGGCTGGGTGGCTCAGTAGTTGGTCACAGCATCATCTCGTGCACCAAAAGGTTGCAGGTTCGATCCCCATTGACGTACGTATCAGAGGCAACCCATCGATATTTCTCTCCCTTTGATGTCTCTGTCTTTCTCTCTCTCTTTCTCTTTCGCTCCTTCTCTCTCTTTCCCCCTTTCTCTCTAAAAGACACAAAAAAACGTCCTTGGGCGAGGATAAAAAGAAACATTAACATTAGAAAGTGCACTAAAAAAAAGTACTCCTTATTCATTGCCCATAGTTCTAAAACCCTGGGCAGTGGGCATTCACTGCTCAGGTGACTTAAGATCAGGAGGGGAGACACCCAGGTGCGGGGAGTGAGGCCCTGAATCATGACGGAAAGGCCCGCAGGTGCCAGCCTTGCACCGACGAAGCTCCTTTATCCCACGGCTTCCCTCACGTGTCCCATGTCCGCTTGCTTCTCTGTCTCAGGGGTCCTGAAGTGCAAGAAGGACAAAGCGTACGAAGGCGGCCAGTTGTGCGCTAGGTGTTCCAGCCCCGAGAAGCTACACAGACAAGAGCTCCAGAAGCTGGGAGACGTGGCCTGTGTGAAGCCCTCCATCCAGTCCCCGCTGAGACATAATGCCAGCAGCACCGGCGAGGGGGAGCAAGACCAGGACACGGAGGGGGACGGCCAGCTGTCCCTGGAGGCTCTGCAGTTCCCGCCGTGGAACGTCTCCTTGAACATGACCGATGAGCACGGGAACACCGTGAGCTTGGTGTGCGACATCCGGAAGCCGAGGCACCTGTCCGAGCTTCACCTCAACCAAACGGACTCTCAGGAGATAGACGTCAACGCGACCGTTGCCCTGGACTTTGAGTGTCCGATGACTCGGGACAAGTACGAGAAGCTGTGGAAACTGATCGCCTATTACAGCGAGGTCCCTGTGAAACTGCACCGAGAAGTCACGGTCACCGAAGACCCCAGGGCCGCCGCCCGCTACCGACAAGACGCCAACGAGAATGCCCTGTACTATACGGGGGTCCGGGCCCACATCCTTGCAGAACCCGCGTGGGTCACGCAGCCCTCCATTCAGCTGCAACTCAACCGACGTCAGAGCACGGCCAAGAAAGTGCTGCTGTCCTACTACGCGCACTTCTCTTTAACCACGTCCGGCAAAGAGGCAGGGCAGGCTCGGGGCAGGAGCTGGGTCATGATCGAGCCCGCTGCCGCCGGCCAAGGAGCTCAGACCGTCTTGGAAGGGACTCCGTGCCAGCTGAGCTGCAATGTCAAGGCCTCGGAGAGTCCGTCCATCTTTTGGGTGCTGCCGGATGGCTCTGTCCTCAGAGGGCCCATGGAGGACCCGCACGGCAAGTTCTCCGTCCTCACCAGCGGCCGGCTGAGGATCACGTTGACAGAGCAGTCAGACTCCGGTCTGTACCAGTGCATTGCTCAGGTGAGGGACGAGATGGACCGGGCGGTCTACCGGCTTCTCGTGGAGCCGCCTGCCACTCAGCCCTCGGGCAGACCCACCGTGACCATTCAGAAGAACCCAGGGGAGTCCCTGACGCTGCCTTGCAATGCCCTGGCAGTCCCCGAAGCCCAGGTGAGCTGGATTCTTCCAGACAAAAGGATGATTCATCATGTGGCCAACGCATCGCAGGTCTACCTGTCGCCCAACGGGACTCTGTCCATCCCCAAGGTGCAAGTCAGTGACAGCGGCTTCTACCGATGCGTGGCTGTCAACCAGCAGGGGTCTGACCGGTTCACGGTGGGGGTCACCGTGAGCAAGAGAGGAGCAGGCAAGTCGTCAAAGAGAGGCAGGCGCCCAGGCGGCAAGACTCTCCCGAGGCTCAGAGGAGACGTCGTGGAAGATGAAGGGGGCTCGGGCAGGGGGGAGGAAGAGAGCCCTGCCAGGAGACTTCTGCACCCAAAGGACCAGGAGACCTTCCTCAAAACCAGGGAGGACGCACAGACCAAGAAAGGGCGGAGAAAGCTGAAACCCTGGAAGAATTCTGAGAAGGAACCGGAGAGCAACGTCGCGGAAGGTCGCCGGGTGTTCGAGTCCCGGCGGAGGATCAACATGGCCAACAAGCAGATTCACCCCGAGCACTGGGCAGACATCCTCGCCCGAGTGCGTGGGAAAAACCTGCCTAAGGGGACCGAAGGGCCCGAGGCCGTGAAAAGCACCACGCCATCGGCGAGTCTCCACGTCACCGCCGCCTCGCCCATGATTTCTCCTCCCTCGGTCTCCCCGGCGCAGACTGTAGCCGGTGCCGAAGAATCCTCGGCAGACGCGTCTTTCTTTGGTGAGGAAGAGCAGATTTCCAGTACCATGTCCTCAAGCAGCACGAGACCGGAACGGGGCCAGACGGGCGTGTCCCTGGCCGCAGCCAAAGCGACAAGCCCAGACCTGGAAGAATTCACCGACGACGAGTTTTCCTTGAAGCCCGAGGACCCGGTGTCGCCGGAAGCTGCGGCCACGACCCTGATATCCTTTGTGCCCTCCGAATCTTCTCCTCCTCCGCACACCTGGGCTGAGATCTCCGAAGAGCGTAGCGGAGAAATCGCCCCCCCAGGAGACCGGTCCGCCACTGACATTGCACCCGTGCCTGCGCCCAGGCCCCACGACGGCCAGACTCTTTTGGAGTCCGCCTTGCCGGCTGCGTCCGAGCCCAAGACATCTGTTACCCCAGCACTGGAGATGAACCCACGGCCAGGTGACGATACGGTTACCACGCAGGATTCCAGACGCGCTGCGCCAACCTCTGTGTCCTCACTGGGGGAGTCCCGGACGTCTGAGCCCGCTGCAGACTTCATTCCAGGGGGGCCCAGTGTCCTGCCACGAGGTCATCGACAAGAAGAAGCGGACACAGCCTCAGTTGCCAGAACCGGGTGGAGCACCCAAGGCCAGCCCGTGCGGAAAAAGGGCGCCGTGAAGGATTCTCTGGTGCTCCAGAGGGGAGAGGTGGTGGAGGGGCACCCCCCGGGCTCTGGAGGACCCAACGGGAGGGGTCAGCGTGTGGGACCCACCACCCGGCTTCACTCCACGCTGGGGGGCAAGCCCAGCACAGCTGCCCTTGAGGGCCCCCGGGGGACCACACTCGGGTCTTTGTTGGACGAGGCCACCACCACCGTCACTGCCCCAATGCCACCCCGGACGGCCACTCCACCACCAGCGCCCACCACCCACTCTCCTCGGAAAAGACCCAATGGGCGGAGGAGGTTACGGCCCCACAAGTTCCGTCAGCGCCACAAACAGACCCCACCCGGGACTTCAGCGCCCACGGAGACCTTCTCTCCTCCACCAACCCAAGCGGCTGACGCAAAGACCCCCAAGCAAGTGGCCGCTTTGCTGGTTCCTGCATCTGGGGTGGAGGCTACGGTTGGGCCCCCCACACATGTGGAAGTGGGGACTCGCACAGAACACGTAACCAAGGGCAGCACACGAAGAAAACACGGGAAGAGGCCCAACAAGCATCGGTATAGCATGTCTGCGGTGACCTCCACCGTGTTCGCGTCCAAGCCCGGCCGTACGTCAGAAAACCAGCCGGCCCACGCCATGACCCCCAGTCCAGACACTTCACCTGTACCTACAACTGTTGCTCTGAGGACGGGGGCCCCCCGGGAGGTGACCAGAGTGGCAGATTATCTGACAACCCCCCTCGGGACACCCGCACCTCGTCTCGGGTTGGACCAGACCGTGCCAGCCACACAGCAGTCTGTATCCGACGACAAAGAAGTGGAGGATGACGGCGTCACCAACATCGATGACGATGACACGGACGGTGTAGTCCCCACCGAGTCGGGCGTGAATGTGGTATCCCCTTCTGACTCCGCAGTCTTCACCATGGGGGCGTTTAAGGACGCACCCCCACCTCCTGGCTCTCCCGGGCCTGGAGGCTGGAACCCCCCCAGCCCAGCCCCGCCTGGGGGGCCGCACACAGACACACGTGCCACCACCTCTTCGGAAAACCTGGTGGACTCGTCCCCTTTTTTGAAAGAGTCCGAGGACACGGACCATCCCTCTGCAGTCACCCCTTCTGTGGCCGTCCCCGCAGTGTTTCACCGGGAAGAAGGGTTCCCTTCCACTGGTGTCTTGAGCACCAAAGCAGAGTCATCCTCCCAGCGAATGGCACAAGCCACCCAGAGTGGTCAGGATTCTTATGAAACCACCACAGCTCTTCCCGGTTCTGGGAATCGAATGGAAAATCACCTCCGCCCTCCCGCCGCCCCAGGGGAAGAACCAGCGTCCCCACCGCCACCCACCGCTCTGGTGGCTGCGGCACAGACCACCACGGAACCGGCACCTCTCACGCCGACAGCATCTCCAGTGTCAACGGACCCCAAGGGACATGTTTTCTTCCATCACGTGGGGATCCCAGAAGCCGGAGCACCCCCAGGGAAAACCGAGGGGACAGAGCCTGCGTGGAGAACAAATGAGTTACCCACCCCCTCTCCCAGGGGGGGTCACATCGACATAACTCCACAGCTGGGGTCAGGAAAGGAACCACGGGATGGCAGGTTCAAAAACACCCTTCCACAGGGCCCGGAGCCTCACCACCAGGATGGGAGTGTCCACCTGTTTCACCAACCGACCAGACTCCCCCCAAGAGGGACCGTGAGGCCACTTCCTAGGACCACACAGAGTCCCTTCCGACACATGGTAACTCTGCAGTCCCCTCGTTACTCCACCAACAAACCGGGAATCACAGCCTATCCCTCGAGGGTTCTGCCGGCCAGTAAGCACCCGACGACCCCCAGATTATCGAGTCCCGCCCCTCCCGTGGGCCCGTGGCACCACTCCAGACCTAACGACTTGCCTGACCGAGGCGCTGCCCGGTTCAACAACAACCCCCAGGTGTTTGGAAGTAACAACCTGCCCGATCTAAGACACCCGGTGGGCAAGCTCCCAAATGCGAGGGTGCCCCATTACTCCGACAGCAGGCTTCCCTTCCTTTTCAACAGGACTTTCTCTTCCCCACAGTTGGGAGGTACCGTCAGGCCCCCAACCCCAACCTCTCCTCCCCCAGCGACGGCAGAGAGAAGAGTCAACCCGAGCCCCTACGACAGGATCCATTCCCACGGCATCAGCCACGTGGACTTCGGCCCTCCGGCACCTCCGTTGTGGCCTCGTCCCCGCACCATGTCCCCACCCTCCACAAACACACAGGGCCTCCCTCGGGTCCACCCCACGCGGAGCTCCGTGCCCTTCGTGACGTCCGCAGGCCCTCCTTCCAGAAGCTTCCATCAGAGCAGCTCAAAGCTCTTCTCTGCTGCGGGGCCACCTGCCTCCAAATTCTGGACGCTGGGGGAAAAGCCCCAGATTGTCACCAGATCCCCTCAGACCGTGTCCGTGACGGCAGAGGCCGATGTCATGCTACCGTGCGAGGCAACCGGGAAACCCAAGCCTTCTGTCACCTGGACCAAGGTGTCTACAGGTAGGACATTTAAGCGCCTGCGTCTTAACTGGGGTGTGTGGTAGGAGGGGTGACTCCTGTGTGTGGGTCTCAGGCACCACCGGTGACGGGGACAAAGACAGGCTGATAGCAGAGAGAGGGGACATCAGAGACCCCAGCTTCAAGCACGTTCCTTTGTGGAGACAGGAAGTAAGGGACTCGCACGCACGGACACGTTCCTGGAGCCTTGGGAACATGTGACAGGTTCCCTGGGTGGGGAACAGTGTAGGTTCAGGGAGGGTGGGTGCGTTTCCCTGGGCCTTTCGGGGGCTTGTGAAGGTCAATGCATCTTGTTCCAAGGTCATCAGGTGTTGGTTTGACTTGAATCCAGATACACAGTTGGATTTGTTGGCTACGGCTGCCATAACAGATACTATACATGGGGCAGCTTTTGCTGAATATATTTATTCCTCCCGGTCCTGGAGGCTGGAGGCTGAGACCCAGGGGTGGGCAGGGCTGGCTCCCCCCGAGGCCTCTCTCCTGGGCGTGTAGACGGTCGTCTCCCCCCTGGGCCCTCACACGGCGTGCCTCTGGGTGTGTCTGTGTCCCCATCTCCTCTTCTTCCAAGGACCCCAGTCCTACGGGATCAGGGCCACCCAACTGAGCTCATTCTACCTTAGTCAACTCTCTAGAGATGCACCCCCAAATACCGCCCCATTCCGAGGTTCTGGGGACCTAGGGCTTCATTCAGCATGAGACTTTTGGGGACATGCAAGTCAGCAGAACCCCACTATGCACAAAGCCCTTGACTCCATAGAAACGACACCTGCTTCCTCTAAACGCAGAGGTGATTTCTGGCTGATAGAAGAAAGTCAAGTCTCAGAAACTCCAGCTTTGATGCAAACTGTCTCCTTTCCCCGTTCTCTGCTCTCTCCACATGGCTGTGACCCTCCGGCCTGGATTCTGATCAGAAACGTGGTTTTTCCCCTTTGTTTTGATCATACACCGATGATTTATGCTAAGAGCCCTCGGGAGGGCCCTGTGCCTCTTTAGACCGACCTGTGTGATCTTCTCTGCACCTGGTGTTGTGTGTCTCCTCACGATGCCTAAGCCAGTTTGCAGGAAGCGGCTCGTGGCAACACCACGGGTTTGTCATTCTGAAAGCCCTGAGCCGATAAAGAGGGACCCCTTCTCCCGCAGGGGGATTGCATCGACCCCTGGGGTCTTCTCTACCCTGTTGTGTCTCTGAGCATCTGTGCAATGGTAGACATTCGTACACATTCCTCCCATTTCCAGGCAGCCCCTTCTACTGGCCGGCTGCGTCTTGGTGAGCTCGCCCCACTTTTTAAGGAGCCCCTTGTCGTTGCGCGCCTGAGCAAATCCTTTTGTGCTCACTGGGTGTTCACATCTACAGACTCAGCCCCTCTATTTTATTGAGCTTTTTCTGCTGGAGCAACCAAAGGAGCTCCTTTGTGGAGACCACCCAGCCTCACCGGCACTTTCCTGGCTGCCCCGAACTCAATGCCACGGCTGAGCCTTCTTGTAGTTCCGAATTATGAAGTTCAGTGGTGGGAGGTAGGATCCCGTGGTGGAGGCCAGGGGGGAGCAGCTCGCTTTCTATGCCCACGGCCACTTGTCATTGAGAAAGACTCAGGTGTGAAGCAGGTTGAGTTTCCAGCTGCATCACCCGGAAGGCCAAGCCACACCTGGCGTGTGGAGGTCTGGGCTGGCTCACCTGCCCGGCAGGCTGGCTTGGCCGTGAGCAACAGTGGTCTTGGCAGCTGCTGTGGACAAGTCAGAGCATGTGCCTGAGTGCTGTCCCCTGGAGGAGCCACCCCTGGGGACAGTGCAGGCAACTTAGACATGCGTTACCTTGGCAAAGGACATGAGACTAACTCAGGAACGGGACTGGGGAGTTCTTCTGGGACTTCAAGTTCCCCTCAGAAAGTAGAACTGGGGTCTTAGGCAGAATTGATAAAGCACAACAGACCGTATTGTGCTCTTCCCACGAAGGAGCGCACCAAGCAGCCTTAGGTCCGCTGGCTTCGATGATGCTGGTGGGTGGGAGGCACCCAGGAGTGTCCCCAGTTTATAAACCACGGGGACTAGAGAGAGTGGGGACAAAGAGGAGGACGTGAACAGCGCCCCCCAGAGGGAATAGAGGAGGGTCGGCGGACTCTGGCTGAGCAGAGGCAGATGGTGGCTGCAAGTCTGGGCGTCCCCGCAGCCCACCTGGGGAACCTCAGGTGGGACTGATCTTTGGGTCTGTTTTGTCTGATGCATGACCCCTGTTTTGGGAAGCTGATTGTCCCTGTGTTTGGCCCCCAGGAGCTCTCATGACCCCCAACACCAGAGTCCAGCGCTTCGAGGTGCTGCAGAACGGCACCTTCGTCATCCGCAAGGTGCAGCCACAGGACCGGGGCCAGTACCTGTGCACGGCCAAAAACGTGCACGGCGCGGACAGGATGCTGGTGCTGCTGTCCGTCACCGTACAGCAGCCCCAGATCCTGGCCTCTCACTACCAGGACGTCACCGTCTACCTGGGGGACACCATCGCCATGGAGTGTCTGGCCAAGGGGACCCCGGCTCCCCAAATCTCCTGGATCTTCCCCGACAGGAGGGTGTGGCAGAACGTGTCGCCGGTGGAAGGCAGGGTCACCCTGCACGAGAACCGCACCCTGTCCATCAAGGAGGCGTCCTTTGCAGACAGGGGCGTGTACAAGTGCGTGGCCAGCAACGCCGCGGGCGCGGACAGCCTGGCCATCCGCCTGCACGTGGCGGCGCTGCCCCCGGTCATCCAGCAGGAGAAGCTGGAGAACATCTCCCTGCCGCCGGGGTTTAGCATCCACATCCACTGCAGCGCCAAGGCGGCGCCCCTGCCCAGCGTGCGCTGGGTGCTCTGGGACGGCACGCAGATCCGCCCTTCCCAGTTCCTCCACGGGAACCTGTTCGTCTTCCCCAACGGGACGCTCTACATCCGCAACCTGGCGCCCAAGGACAGCGGGCGCTACGAGTGCGTGGCGGCCAACCTGGTGGGCACGGCGCGCAGGACGGTGCAGCTGACCGTGCGGCGCGCCGCGGCCAACGCGCGCATCACCGGCACCTCGCCGCAGAGGACCAACGTGCACTACGGCGGGACCCTGCGGCTGGACTGCAGCGCCTCCGGGGACCCCTGGCCCCGCATCCTCTGGAGGCTGCCGTCCAAGAGAATGATTGACTCGCTGTTCAGGTACGTGCGCGCCCGGCTGGAGCTCAGCCCCTGGACTGGGGTCCTGCGCGCGCCTCCCCTTCCAGCGCCCGGAGACGCCCGTCCTTGGAGTGTCCTTGTCCAGGATGGAGAGGCGCAGGTGCTGCTCTGTGACTGCGCTGGGCTGGGAGCGACTGTTCTTCACACCTTGGAATCTGGTCTTCACAGCCTAGCATCCTCGGTTTGCCACCCACACCCCCAAAGGAGCCAAAGAGTCTCTCTTTTTCTTTTTAAATATTTTTATTTATTTGTCTGTTTGTTTATTTATTTATTGATTTTAAAAGATTTTATTTATTTATTTTCAGAGAGAGGGAAAGGAGAGAGGGAGGAAACATCAATGTGTGGTCGCCTCTTGTGCGCCCCCTACTGGGGACCTGGCCTGCAACCCAGGCATATGCCCTGGCTGGGATTTGAACCGGACACCCTTTGCTTCACAGGCCACTGCTCAATCCACTGAGCCACACCAGCCAGGGCTAAATAGTTTGTTTTAATGATTTTCGTTTAAACTGTATCTTTTATGACAAGATGACATAAAAGCAATCTACACTAATATGTATTTGTACCAAATACATAGAAGCTTCCGATGTTTTTCAATGGCTTTAAGGAAAGGATGTAAAACAAAATATTAAAGGGACATATTTTTATTATTTTAATTTTAATTTCTACATTTTATTTTATTTTTATTTTTAATTTTTAAAAATTAAAGTAATTTTAAATTTTAATTTAATTTTAATTTTTAACTTCTATATTTTTATTTTATTTTATTTTTAACTTTAATTTAAAAATTGATTTTAATTTTAATTTTAATCTTTAATTTCTATATACTTTATTTTATTTTTAATTTTTTTAATTTTTCATTTCTACACTTACCATTGACAGACAGTATCATACCAGGTTGAAGTACGCAGCACAGTGGTTAGACCTTTACATAACTTACAAAGTGATTCCCCCCCCCACAAGTCTAGGAGCCACCTGGCACCATGTACAGTTCGTACGGTATCACTGACGCTCATTCCGTGGGCTGGACTTTCCGTCCCGTGACAATTCCGTCACCAACAACAGCCTGTGCCTCCGTGTCCCTTCACCTGAGGCATTAGTTCAGCACCAGCATGACCATGAAACGGATTTGTCCAGGAAGGAAGCCGGCTTCTACTCCGCTGCCTTCAGTTCCCAGACACCTGGATCTGGAGCCCAGGGGCCGATTTTGTCCCCCTGGGGACATTTGGCGGCGTCTGCAGGGGTTTGGGGCTGATGCGCCTCAGGGCGGTTACTCCTGGCACCTGGCAGGGGGGAGACCAGGGAGGCTGGCCAACCCCTGCAGTGCCCAGGACGCCCCCCATCTCAGAGTCTCAGTGCTCAAGTTTCCAGACTGTTTGTTCGCACGAGAGTCTCCGTGTCTACCATCCATCTGCCTGTCTGTCTATCTGTCTATCATCTATCTATCCCTTACCTATTTCCGCCTTTCATCTATCAGGTACCATCTGTCTATCTGTATATCTCTCCCCCTGTTCATTTCTCTTCTATTTATGTATCTATCATGTAACTTTTATCCACCATCTATCATCTGTGGCTACCCATCATCTATCTATCATTTGTCTGTCTGTGTATCCATCTGTCATCTACTTACCTGTGTATCATCCCTCTATCTACCTACCATCTATCTGTTTATCTATCTATCGATCTATGGTTCTCCACCTCGTGACTCTGCCTCCAGGGCACACCCATCAGTACAGTCATTCTTGGCACACCTGGGGCTGGGAGGTGTGCCCACCTCCCGGGTGGAGACCAGAGGTGCCAATGGCCGCCCTGCAGTGCCCAGGGCGGCCTGCCTCGCAGATCCACTTAGCCCGAAATCCAAGCGAGCCTGTGTCTATAATGAGCGTTTTGAGGTCTAGAGGAAAGCAACCGCATTGCACAATAAATGCAGGCAGTGTCCATGGCTTATGGTGCGTCTTCAGCACCCCCGGCTCATACAGGGGTGCCCGTCAGCATGCCCCCCTCACCAGGACCGGGGAGAGGCCAGCGAGCATGGGCTCAGTACGGGGCTGTCTCCCAGCTCCTTCCAATGCAGGGAAGGGGCGAAGGCGCTCTCTCCTTCCCTGCGTGGATGTTAGAAGGCTAGGCGGTGCCTCATGCGCCTTGCTCCATCCATTCAGAGCCCAAGGTACCCAATCCTCCCTGGAAAATCTTCCAGCGAGGCAATGCATTGTCACGTGGAGGTGTGCTTCCAGTCCAGCCTGGCCCAGCTGAAGTAGTATCAAGTTCAAAGACTCTCTCACCCCCGACAACTGTGAGCAATTCCAGTAGCACCTCCCTATACATCACAAACCATCATATCTATCTCCCCTTATTTTCACTAAATTCTGCCTATGGATGTCCCTCGTTAAGGGTAATTAAACCGCCCACGTGACTCTTGTAAAAGACCGCACTCCTGGCCCAGCATCCACATTGGAAGGATCAAAAAATATGGAAATTGCAAAAGTCGGTGATGTATGGGCCCATTGTTCAGCTCCTCGGTTGTTGCTGAGAAGGCTCGGGGGTAGGGACCACTGTTCTAGAAGCTCAGAAATGTTTACAGACATGTGGCACTTTACAAATGGGGGTTCACATGCCAAGACCTAGGAAACGATCCTCATTCCCCTAGTATCCCAGCCAGTGACATAGACATGACTGTCACTGGAAGCCAACAAAACCCTTCCTTTCATTATGGTTAGTGGTCGCCTTTAGTAACGACAATCATCTGGTTATGGAGCTGACCTCCATCGTAGGCAGACTTATTTCTTTTTCGATATCGACAAGACAGTTCCAGACATAGATGAATGCATTGCTTAGAAAATATTTAGGGATTAAATGGAGGCCTGCCCCCCCACCCCCAGCCATCATGCAGCTGTTGCGATTTAGGTGTGATGTGAGATTTTCAATCTGCACAGTTATAAAGTCGGAACCTCCCAATTCTGTTCGCAGTTCTTTCACAACATTAGTTCTGACTTGCTCAAGGAAACAACAATATTTATAGACAGGCCACATGGTCAGGGAAGAGCTCTTGAACATTTTCCGTATTGTCCTGTTAAAACAAGAGCCTTTGGTAAATATTTGCTCAGAGGTGTGTAAGCTTGGGCTCCACGTAAAAGTTTTTTTAAATTGATGTTTAGGGAGAGAGAGGAAGGAAGAGAGACAGGAAAATCGATTCGCTGCTCCACGGTATTGCTGCCCTCATTGGTTGATTCCTATATGTGCTCTGACTGGGGATCGAACCCACGACCTTGGTGTATCAGGACGACACTCTAACCAACTGAGTTACCCGGCCAGGGCTGAAGTCAACTTTTATCAGTTCATGTGGAGAAAAGCAAAGCAGCTGGGGGCCGGTAGCTCGTGGAAGTCACTCAGCTTTGGTTTCTGGTTATGAGGAAGCAGACTGCCCTGATATTGCACATGCTGAGGAATTTTACCTTAGCACGGAAATGCTCTAATGAAACCACAGTGATGTCACCTAGAGTACAGTCATTTTGCTGTGTGTTGTCCCATGTCATTTAAAAAATCGTCGAGACTAAAAACAGACTCTAAGGCACTTTTTCCACCAAGAACTTAATCTCTCTCTTTTTTAAGATTTTATTTATTTACTTTTAGAGAGAGGGGCAGGGAGGGAGAAAGAGAGGGAGAGACACATCCATGTGTGGGTACCTGTTGCACGCCCCCTACTGGTGACCTAGCCCACAACACAGGCAAGTGCCCGGACTGGGAATTGAACCTGCAACCCTGTTGTTTGCAAGCTGGCGCTTAATCCACTGAGCCACCCTAGGCAGGACACAACTTCATCTCTTCATGAGATTAACTCACATTCATCTTGCCCGATTTGATCGTTAACCTGAAGTCTGCCCTGGCTCACCCTAACGGGGCTGATGTCTTTGACTGCATTTCACAGTCTCCAATCAGTAGCCAGGCCACCGAAAGGTCGGACTCAAGTGGGGAGTCCTTGTGGGCTCTAAATACTTAATTCCCGCATTTGGACACAGTGCCATCCAGGCTGCAAAGATCAGCTGATGTCTTTCAGGAGCGGTCGGCTGCATGAGCTTATAGTTCTCAGCCCCAGGTGTGTCCGCTGCATCCCACAGACCCACAGCCCGGTGTCCTAGCTGGGATTCTGACTTCTCGTTTCTTGTCTCTCTCTTTCTCTCCGTCAGCTTTGACACCAGAGTCACCGTGTTCGAGAATGGGACCCTGGTGGTGAAGTCCGTCACCGACAGGGACGCGGGGGATTACCTGTGCGTCGCCCGGAATAAGGTCGGGGACGACTTTGTCCTGCTCAAGGTCAACGTGGTCATGAAGCCCGCCAAGATCGAGCACAAAGAGGAGAACGACCACAGGGTCTTCTACGGCGGGGACCTCAAGGTGGACTGCGTGGCCTCGGGGCTGCCCAACCCCGAGATCTCCTGGAGCCTCCCGGACGGCCGCCTGGTCAGCTCCTTCATGCAGTCGGACGACAGCGGTGGGCGCACCAAACGCTACGTGGTGTTCAACAACGGCACCCTCTACTTCAACGAGGTGGGCATGCGTGAGGAAGGGGACTACACCTGCTTCGCGGAGAACCAGGTCGGCAAGGACGAGAAGACCGTGCGCGTCAAGGTGGTGACCGAGCCGGCCGCCATCCAGAACAAGACGTACTCGGTGCTCCATGTCCCCTACGGGGACGTGGTCACCGTGGCTTGCGAGGCGAAAGGGGAGCCCACGCCCAGGGTGACGTGGCTGTCTCCCACAAACAGGCTGATCCCCACCTCCTCGGAGAAATACCAGATCTATCAGGACGGGACCCTCCTCATCCAGAAAGCCCAGCGCGCGGACAGCGGCAACTACACCTGCGTGGTCAGGAACAGCGGGGGCGAGGACAGGAAAATCGTGTGGATCCACGTCAACGTGCGGTCGCCCACGATCAACGGGAACCCCAATGCCATCACCACGGTGCGGGAGATAGCCGCCGGGGGCAGCCGCAAGCTCATCGACTGCCAGGCGGAGGGCGTCCCCACCCCGAAAGTGCTGTGGGCTTTCCCGGAAGGCGTGGTCCTGCCGGCCCCCTACTACGGGAACCGGGTCACGATCCACCGGAACGGCACGCTGGACATCAAGCGCCTCCGGACGAGTGACTCTGTGCAGCTCACCTGCATCGGGCGCAACGAGGGCGGGGAAGCGCGGCTGATTGTGCAGCTCACCGTCCTGGAGCCCATGGAGAGGCCCGTCTTCCACGACCCGGTCAATGAGAAGATCACCGCCATGGCCGGGCACACCATCAGTCTCAACTGCTCCGCCGCGGGCACCCCGGCGCCCTCTCTCACGTGGGTCCTCCCCAACGGGACAGAGCTGCAGAGCGGCCGGCAGCTGCTCCGGTTCTACCACAAGCGGGACGGCATGCTACACATCAGCGGCCTGTCCTCCGGAGACGCCGGGGCGTACCGCTGCGTGGCCCGGAACGCGGCGGGCCACACCGAGAGGCTGGTCTCCCTGAAGGTGGGGCTGAAGCCGGAGCTGAGCAAGCAGTACCACAACCTGGTCAGCATCGTCAACGGCGAGACCCTGAATCTGCAGTGCCTGTCCCCCGGAGGCGGGCCGGCCCGCTTCTCCTGGACGCTCCCCAACGGCGTGGTTTTGCAGGGGCCCCAAACCCGGGGGCGCTTCGCCCTGTGGGAGAACGGCACCCTGACCGTGCGGGAGGCGTCCGTGTTTGACAGGGGCACCTACGCGTGCAAGGCAGAGAGTGACCACGGCCCGTCTGTCATGAACTTCCCGGTCATCGTCATCGCCTACCCTCCCAGGATCACCAGCGAGCCCACGCCGGTCATCTACACCCGGCCCGGCGGCACGGTGAAGATGAACTGCATGGCCATGGGGGTCCCCAAGGCCGAGATCACCTGGGAGCTCCCCGACAAGTCCCGCCTGACCGCCGGGAGGCAGGCGCGTGCCCACGGCCACCGGTCCCTGCACCCACAGGGCTCGCTGACCATCCAGCAGGCCACCCAGAGAGACGCCGGCTTCTACAAGTGCACGGCCAAGAACATCCTGGGCACTGATACGAAAACCACATACATCCACGTCTACTGAAGCCCCTGCCCCTGTGTGTGGACCCCCCAGGCTTTGCTCAGCAGCTCGGAACAAAGCCGTGCTTGTAAGGAAGACCCTGGGGTGACAAGCAGAGCCGGAGCAAGGAGGTTGAGTTCATGTTGACTCTGACCTGGGCTGCCGGGCAAGAGGAAGCAGCTCAGACAGGAAAGAAGGAGTCCCCGCTCAGTGGGGCTTCCCTTCCCGTTCACGGGACACCACGGGCTGTCTCCCAGGGTCTGGGAGTGAAAAACCACCACTCCTAGGCTGCAAAGGGCCCTCGGACATGTTCACAAGCCCCTGCCTGGGGCCTTTCTAAGCGCTCGCTGAAGAAGGAAGCGTCCAGACAGACAGTGCCTTATTCTACCACGTAGTTAACCCGCTTCGGTTTCACGACAGAACATTCTAGAATCACTACCCATCTTTCAGTCCCGTCCTCTGTCACTTCCAAACTCCAGTTGGACCAATAAGGGCGAAGAACCAGAGTGATCCAATTTTCTCTTTAATGTACAAGTTTTCTGCAACACCGGTACCCTTTCATAGGAAAGAACTCTTGCTCCCTGAAACTCCCCTTTTCTATAAATATATATATATATTTTTTGTCTTTCTGATCAGACGATGAGCATAGAAAGAGAAACGCTTTCTGTCTCATTAAACATAATAAATTATTGGTCTTTACAAGACTCGGGTACATGAGAGCAAGTATGGAAACTCAATTAAAAAAGTCTTCTACGCCCATTCTTCCAATTCAGTCTTTGTTATTATTTGGCCTTTGCAGGAAACCCTGCTGGTGGCGGGGAGGTGGGGATATCGGATTTCCTGGTTTCGGAAGTTTGTCTTCAGACCCGTAGGGGCGGGTGGGGGCGGGGGTGGGGGCAGGGGGTGGAGAGAAAGGAGGGAGCTAAGACCTGACCCTGCTGAGCACACCCAGAGCCTCTCCGGAAAGGCCTCCCTCAGGGATATGTGCCCACAGGCAGCGGGAGGCCTCTCATTTTCCAGGCTGCTTTACTGTGTGTTGAAGGTCAATATCATGTACATTGGACAATAAAAGGATATTTTCCAAAATAAGCCAGCACTTGGTGACAATGATGTTTTCAAGGGCAGAATCACCTTCTTGAGATTCAGGGTGTACATTCCAGCGGTGGGCAAAGAGCCTTTATCCATTGCAGTGATGACGTGCTTGTCCTGAGCAAGTATTTACGGGGCAAGGAAACTGTGTCCAAGGCGGTGGTTTGCAAACCTATCCGACAGACAAGCAGTCAGGGTGGGACCCGTCCGTCCTCCGTGGTGACGAAGAGACACTTTGAGGGTGTGGAAATACGCTGTGGCCACCTTCCAGGGCATTTTCTACGGGAACAAAATACCCCAGGGTATCCTGAGACACACGACGCTGCCCTTCTTTGGCTTCCTCTCAAAGGGAGAAAAATGGGGCACCTGGCGTAAATATCTCAGACGAGAGTGACCGTCATGCCTGAGACAAACCCAGGACTGCCGCCACCCAAGAATGTCACTCCTGGAAACAAAGCCGTGTGTAGCTTTTCACAGCTCTGAGGGGGTCTCCGAGGCTCAGTCACTCGGGGAAGTCCCACCTGCACAGCCCTCACTGTGCGAGCCGGTACCAGGACGGGCCCGGGGACGCCCAGGTGTGGAGGGGACACCCAGGTGTGGAGGGGACACCCTGCTAAAAGACTGCACGCTCCCCAAGTGAGCGTTGCAGCCAGCGCGGGTGTCTCAGCATCGACACCGGGGATGTTAGGACTGGATGGTGCTCTGTGCTGAGCGCTGTCCTGGGCACATCAGGGCTCGGGGCAGGGGCCTGGGGTCTGCCCGCTCCGTACCAGCAGCACCGGCAGTCCAGGTTTGACAACCAGAAGTGGCTGCAGATTCTGTCATAGGTCCCCCTGGGCGAGGTGGTGGGGACCATGGAATTCCTCTTAGTGAAGAAGTGCTGCCTTAGCTGATGGATGGTTGGAAGGAGAGAAGGAAGGAAGGAAGGAAGGAAGGAAGGAAGGAAGGAAGGAAGGAAGGAAGGAAGGAAGGAAGGAAGGAAGGAAGGAAGGAAGGAAGGAAAGAAGGAAGGAAAGCAGGGAGGGAGGTAGGAAGGAAGGATTTATGGATGGATGGATGGATGGATGGATGGATGGATGGATGGATGGATGGATGGATAAATTGAAAGGATACATGATAGATAGATAGATAGATAGATAGATAGACAGACAGATAGATAATAGACAGACAGACTTTCGTACTAGGTCATCATGGAGGGAGCATGGCCCTGGGACACCTGGACCTCAGACACCTGGCCTCCAGGACAGGGGACAGTGAATGCCTTTGGTTTAAGTCCCCACTTTGTGGCAGTTGGTTGTAGCAGCCCTGAGAAACAAACCCAAACCGTTCTTACTAAAATTTGCCAGCAGAGAGAGGCAGGACGAGAGGTCACTCCTTGCTTCGTGACAGAGTCCCAGGAAGAGATGTGTGACTGAGCCTGTTAGCCCGCCATAAAGACCCTCTGCGCTCGGACATCACTAATTAGAATCTCACACGGCTCTGTGAGGGTCTGCGGTCCTACGCTGACTGCAGACGCTTTCTCCTCCCCCATGGCCCGCTGAACATCTGGTGGGTGTGCTCGGAAACCTGTGTGCACGGGCAGACTCGAGCTGGCCATCAGTCCTCACTCTCTGATGGCCCCCAGGTCCCTCCCCCCGCAGACAAAACCTCAAACCCAGCCTCTGCCCGTAGAGCAGATGAAACTGGGCAGGATTCTACCTCCGGGGACGCTGCCTCCGTCTTTCTCCCGAATCAAATGGGCAAGATGGTCAACTGCAAGGGGACTCTTTCTAGGCGTTTTATGCTGCAAGCCCAGCCTGGCCATGAGCACTGGGGCGAGCTCCTGGACGTCAGCAGGACCTGAGGTTTGTGGAGTAGCTGGGGCAGCGGGGAGAGCTCAGTCATGTAACACCATCCTCCTCCACGTCTGGCTCCGGAGCCTTCTTCCTGGCGAAGACTGTTTTAAGTTTACCATCTTTCCACAGAATGCGGCAGTAGGGCTCATTCTTGGCTTCATATTCTAACCCCCTGGGGAGACTAAAAATTCCTCCTGCCCAGGGGTGTTTATTTCCTGGGACTGCCGTGACTGCGCGTTTTAGAACCGCAGGAATCCACCCTTCCCCGTTCTGGAGACTGGACGTCTGAGGTCCAGGTGTCCCAGGACTGCATTCTCTCCAGGGAGGGTCCTTCTCACCACTTGCAGCTCCTGGGTTCCAGGCGTCCCTGGGCTGGTGGCCGAGTCCCTCCCGTCTCTGCCTCCATCTCCACATGGCTTCTCCTCCATGTCTGCATCTCCTCTCCTGTCCCTTCTCAGGACACTGTCACTGGACACAGGGCCACCCTGACCCCGGACCACCTCCTCTCAGATCCTTCCTTCCTCCCACCTGCAAAGACCCCGCACTGTCCAACTTGGTTTGTGAGCTGCGTGTTCAAAGCCACGCAGCAGAATGACCACCTAACACAGAACGAGCCTCTCCCAGGGTGGTGGTCCTGGATTCTGCGCTGCCACGATGCTGCTCAGACCATGGCAGGAGAAACAAGGTTCTAAATACGAGACCTGGACTTGAACTTCGGTCCTGAGCCTTAACCATTGTGAGCACCTGCGAATCATCTATGTGAACTCTCTTTGTGAAGGCGTCCAAGGATGCATAACAGGATGATTGACAAAGTTCCTTAGATAACAGACGAATGGTGGAACAAAGGTCAAAACTTCTGTGTTTTTGTTTTTTAAATGCTGCCCTTTTGCCCCTAGTGAGGTAACAGACATCATCTGAGAGAGAAACAATTTCTGTTTTAGAAAACTGTCTATGACACTCCTTCACTATGTGAAGGGAACATCTTGATGTGTAGGCGTTGGGAGAACCCAGTGGCTGAAGAAACAGGGTATAAAGTTCTCAGACGCCTGGTAAGGAGCTGAGCGGGGAGGTGGATGAACCATGAGAAGAAGGAGCTAAACAGCTGCCCCCTGGCTGAGGTGGTCCCCCCTCTCCCCAAGCCTCAGACACCCTGCCGTCTAACCATGAGTTGGTGGCATGGACTCTCCCAGCAGAAACTACATTTCCCAGGCTCCCTTGCTGTCAGGTGGGGCCAAGTGACCGATTCTCACCAATGACAAGGGTTCTTTCCCGACTGCAGTGATGAAGAAGAAGAAACACCTTTAATGGCCCTTGTCCCCTCCCCCACTGAATGAAGCGTTGAGGACAACACCTGTTGGGTGCTGCCACCTGTTACCTGGGTCTACATCTCCTACCCTCTTCCCTCTTAAATTAAAAGTAATGCCAATTACCTAACGATGCTTATTCTTGCAGTCTCAGATTTGTTACCCTCAGGGCACAATTCGACGTTGGACATTAAGCTTTTTTTCCTCCCTAGCAAAGTCCCAGGTAAGACACTAAGCCGTAAAACTATGGTGATGTTTGAATGAAAGCAACACCCGTGGAAATGTCAAATGGCAGTTATGAGTATTTGTTTATCGGTATCACCATCTCGATGGGAAGATTGTACCACCCCAGTGAGGCAATGACTTGCCATTTTCCCGTGCCGAGTAAAATACAGAGAGGGACTGGAGACAAAGTAGGACTTCTTTATCATCGACCGAGTCACCTGGACGGGGATGGATGTTCTGGCCACCCCAGCGCTCCAAGCCGAGACTGGCAGAGACAGAGTACCTGCAGTTCAAGCCCCTCTTTCCCCTGCATCATGAAACACCACCGCACAGGTTAAAAACGATGTTAAATGCCCCGGTTAAAATGTTCAGACTCTGACACCCTCTTTGTCACTGAAGACACACAAAGCGCGTGGTGTATCTTAGTTAGACAGCGACAAGGAGGTTTGGGAGTAGCCATGGGTTCTTAGTAAAAACACAGTTCCACTTTGTGTTATAAAAAATCGAAATGTCAACATGCTGCTTTGGGGAAGGAAAAAGCAGCCTATTTCTCACTCACATCTGTCAACACAAAACGAATCCTCTGCAATCACCCAGATGCGGAAGCAGCCCAAGCGCCCATCAGGAGACAAGTGGGTAAAGCCACATGGGTGCATTTACTCAGGGAAAGAGACTCAGGAAAGGATGAACTCTTACCCTCTGCAAGGGCATGGGCGGACCTGCAGGGCTTTCTGCTCAGTGAGATGAGCCAGCCAGAGAAAGACAAACACCATGTGATTCCACTTCCATGTGGAATCTGGTAAACAATATGAATGAACAAGCAACGTGGAAACAGACTCACAGACGCAGAGAAGAGACTGATGTCCGGGGAGGGGCAGGGGCGGGGTAGAAAAGACAAAGGGATTGAGAAGGACAGACAGACAGTTACAGAACAGTCCTGCGGGTGTAAAGACCAGCCCAGGGAGTATAGTCAATCTCATTGTAGTAACTACTGATCGTGCCAGGTGGATATTTGAAATATGAGGGGACCCCTTTCTAGAGGACGTGGTTTTGCAACCACGATGCTGGAGACCTGAGACTGATACAAAATAACACAAATAACACGGAATGTCCCCTGCAATTGACAAATCAAAAAACTCAGAAGTTAGAACATAGTAAGTAGAACAGAAAGCAAAACACAGAAGATCTACAGGATTCCATGCGTGAAAGCTCATGCCACGCTGTTTATTATTTTACATTGTAGAAGCTTGTGTAAGATATGCCAGAACAATCCAACGATACATTTTCTGGGCTCGAACGAGGGATTTGAGTCAGGAGCCTTCCTGAGGAGTCGGCTCTGAAGGATTATTAAAATGGATGAAGTGTGAAAGCTCTCTTTCCATTTTT